ACATTAGTAATAAGTGAATCCAAAGATTCTATTAGAGATTCGTTAATTTGTTGTAACCAAATTAAGTAGTCTTTTATATATAGTTGATTTAATATATATCGAGGTTCGTATGAATTGTTAAACAAACTATGTATTTCGCAAAGACGTTTTATAATATATTTTTTACCTGATAATAAGATAATCAATTAAAGACGACAAAAACGAAGAAATGATTTCATAAATCAAAATCCTGTTTTTTAACTTACCTAATTTGATAACTTTCTTTACATCTTCTAGAATTTTGTTGGACAAATCACAATTTCTAAAAAGTGGATAACATATAGATCTTCTGAAGCATGCTTTTGCAACTTCCTCTGCATCACAAAATTCCTATAAATATTATCATTAACATCTAATAGAAAATGAAGTCATTTCTTACGTATATATTCTAAAATACCCTACATACATCAAACCAAGACAAGGTTGAACTTAATTTATTAATGGTCCAACTACTCTCAACAGTATTTTCACCCAATGTAGTCCTGTGGTTGTAACAGCTACCAAATAAAATGTCAACTAAACCTAAAAGTAGCTTGTGGGTTTCCTCATTATTTAACAAATATTCTTTGTTTGGAAGTTCTTTTAATAAATCCACTTGAGTTCCGTCTAAAGATACATTTTCTCTATCCAAAGTGTCCCACTCTGCGACATATGAAATATATGGTTCTATACAGTCAGGTTGCATAAGATCTGCTAGATAATGCTCTTCGTTAAAATCTTCAATTTCACGTTTCTCCCTTAATCCTCTTCTTTCACTTTGTGGTGTTGTATCTGGCATTGGAAGATCTATTATTTCTTTAATCCAAGCTGACTAAAAATAGAAAAGAATATTAGTTATATGATTGACAGAATTATACAGATAAATATATGATATTATACAGATGTTTCGAAGCATTTACCTCGAAAGCAGCTAAAGCGCCAGATACTTTATTTGCAAAACCATATTTAGGAGATATAGTTAGAAGATTGGTTATATTCTCTGTGATATTACTTTGATTTATATACCATTCATCTCCATCAGTACTTTCGTCAAGTGCTATGAACTGGTTCTCATTAGATATATCATTAATATCATCAGAGTTTGCAGATGGATTCCCAATTACTTCAATATTGGGGACAATTGTACTTTTCTTTTTTGGTGGTGCTAATAATGTTGTTATCATATCCAAATTTTCAAAGTACTCTCCTTTTATTACTTTTGAAAATCTTAAGGAGAAATCTCCTTTCTCACAATCATAAGAACCAAACGATGAATCATTCTCTTCTATTTCACCTGGTAACTTCAGCCTAAGATTTAAAAAATATTTCATTACAAACATTTATAGTTGTTAAGTAAGAATTGTTTACCTTAAATAGTATGGAGTAGAAAAAAATCTGAAGTCCGTTCCATCAATATAAACTTCTGTATCTTTAATATTAGCATATGGTGCATGAACAATTATTGCAACTTCTGTGTCTGTTTGAGTTATCTCAAATCGTGGAGTCAGCATTTTCGTAATAAGTTAAAATAAATTATTTCATGGACAAACTTCTTTCTAATTCAACTACCTGTAATATTGCACAACTGCAAAGTCTCACATTAGCAGCCAAATATAAAGGGGTATTAAACGTACTGATAAAAATATTATTTCAAACGCACAGTATACTTTATTAATAAAACTATAATCAGCTTAAGTTAGTGTATGGTTCACTGTGTCTATTGAGCATGCGTATTGCACATTGCACACTGTACATACAGTGTGAACTGTGAAGTGCGAGCTTGGTCCGACGTCCGACTCGGACGAGCTACGAAGTGCGAGTATCGCCAGTACTGCACATCTGCACATTGCGCGGGATTTTAGTCAACGTAACATACTCGTTTGCCGGTTCAACACTAATAGAGCTATTGTGTTTCTTTGAAATTGTCGTTAAACTGATATTTAGATATTAGAAAGGAAATTGTAACTAACGGTGGATCGAGCCGTTTCAAGCACTAAACATGGAAATGGATATGGTCTGTAACGATACGAATAACAGGTAATTATAACTCAAACTTGTCTTCTGGAAGCTATCAAGTCATCGGCATTCCTTAATTGTCATGATGTGTTGTACTACATATGTAATATTGTCTCAGAAATTATATCTACCTTAAACCATACAATGGAGAGCAAAATTGAATCATTATACTCTTCAAAACTGAATGATTTTATTGCACCAAATGATTCAAATAATTTTATGAGTAGGTAGGTGGATTAGTTTCCTAAATAATGTATGAAGAAAATTTAAGGAATAAGTGTTTGAAATGTGTTGCATAAATTTCCTTACAAACCGAGAGAAAGAAGTTAAAAAATGCGACCTTCACTTTTCTGCTCACAGTTACTTCCAATTTAAATTTTTTCATCATTTAACTAATCCAACAAACTACTAAAAAATACTCGGGTCATTTCGTACGTATAATTTCAAAACATACATTAGTATTGTTTTGTCCTTCACACCTGTAATATCCTCAATATGTTCTATTTATAATCACTTTGTAAATAAGTTATTAAATATTATTTTACATAATATCACTATTTTATTATTCATCCTTAGTTAATTTTTATATTCGAAATATTATTAATTAAAAATTCGTTAATTATTTGTGACTGCAAGAATATCTTATTTCTTTCTCAAATAAATAGTAGAAGAGTGTTACAATTCCTGCGATGGTAAAGTAAAATTAGATTGTAAAATGTATTTTCTTTATTTTTATTTTTAAATCGCTGTTAATTATGTTTATCTGACAATAATATTTTTAATCGATTATTTCACACTTATATTATTTTCAGTGATTGTACATTAAAAGATATGAAAAATGTAGAACAAAATAACAATAAGGTAGTAGAAAGAAAAAGAAAACGGGAAGAAAATTTTAGGAAGAAGCAGATAACTGATGAAAAATATAATGAAGAAGTA